AATAATATTAATAATAATAATAATAATAATAATAATAATAATAATAATAATAATAGATTGACGCTTACACATATGTTAGTGATTGGCCGAGCTCCTCCTCCGAATTTTGGCGTGCGCCTTGATGTTATCACACAAAGCGGAGGGATTTACAGTTTTACGCCGACTCCGTTNAATAATAATAATAATAGATTGACGCTTACACATATGTTAGTGATTGGCCGAGCTCCTCCTCCGAATTTTGGCGTGCGCCTTGATGTTATCACACAAAGCGGAGGGACCTACAGTTTTACGCCGACTCCGTACGGCGATTGTATTTTTATGAAAAGCTGTTTTTCATGGCATAAATACACTCGGTGGTTTGCCATTGCCTGCCGAGGAACAACCGCTGTTTAGAAAAAAACTTTTTTCTATATTTTTGCGATGTTGCTTTGACCAGGGTTTAAACCCTGATGCTGCGGAGTGGAAGCGCGAACTGCTTACCACTACACCACAGCGGCCGACATAAAATAAAAAAAAAGTTCAAAAACAATTGTTTTCTAACGAATTTTATTATAAAAGTTATACAAGTCCGGGTCCCTGACAAAGTATTCGGAAGACCTATAAAGAACAAAACTAGCAGATATACCAGGATCTACTATATATAATATCGACAAATTAATCAGGGAATCAAGATGCTGTTAATGCCGCAAAACACACTAATTGTATCATAGTAAGTTACATTGAAGCATTACAACCAACCACGCATTTAAAACAGCAACAAATATTTTTTTTTGTTGCAATTTATAGCTATCTAATATGTATTAAGATACCTGGAGGTTGAGTTCTTAAAAGTAATAGGAAAAATGTTTATGTGCTTCTTAAAACCAAACCACAAAACATACCCGGGTATGTCGTAGTGACACAAAGCTTCAATTAAAATGGAAGGTATGTGCAGTGGCGTAACTATACCATCTGAGGCCCGTGGAAAATTCTTGGGATGGGGCCCTCCTAGTAAAAATCGTCACGTTTTAATTTAATTTTAATAAAACCCTTAATATTCTGTCCATTTTAGTTAAATATCTAATAAATTTTATCTTCAAGAGCATGGGCTTATACAAATGTATTTATGATGAAATACCAATTTCATTTTTATAAGATATTTGTTAATAAAACTAGTTTCCCCGAGCTTTCTGTTCCGAAAAATAATCTATAAAATCATCAAAATTTAAAGATATAGCCACAGAGTTTCCAATAGACAGAATAGCCAAGCTACGTAGCCTGTCTTATCCCATAGAGTTTGTCAAATAGGGTTTTATTAATTCTAGCTTCGAAAATGATCGTTCAGAATTAGCTGTAGGTACATAAATTGGAAGCAATAAAATTAATGCAGTACATACTTCAGGAAAGCAGGACGACATAAAATAAAGTATACAGCTGCGGTCAAAATAATAGCAGCAAAATTCAAAATATAATTATTTGCATCTCCTGTATATTTATTTATTTTTTTAAAATTTCATTTAAAATACAGTTCCATCTATAACAGAAATAAAAATTTCAAAAATTGCATAAAGTTGACAAAACTTAATCAAACCTCAAAAAAATGTTCATCAAAATTTTNATACTTCAGGAAAGCAGGACGACATAAAATAAAGTATACAGCTGCGGTCATAATAATAGCAGCAAAATTCAAAATATAATTATTTGCATCTCCTGTATATTTATTTATTTTTTTAAATTTTCATTTAAAATACAGTTCCATCTATAACAGAAATAAAAATTTCAAAAATTGCATAAAGTTGGCAAAACTTAATCAAACCTCAAAAAAATGTTCATCAAAATTTTAAAATTTTATTCAGAATGAGAAAATTTTCGAGTATGCGCTTTGTAGCTCATTCAGTTTTAGTATAATAAAGTGCAAGTTTTAAGTCACCAAAAATTACCGCTGATTTTGTGGGTTTTTTTTGTGTCGAGGGTGTTCAGCATTTCCTNGTTCATCAAAATTTTAAAATTTTATTCAGAATGAGAAAATTTTCGAGTATGCGCTTTGTAGCTCATTCAGTTTTAGTATAATAAAGTGCAAGTTTTAAGTCACCAAAAATTACCGCTGATTTTGTGGATTTTTTTGTGTCGTCCATGTAACGTATGAACAAAATCTATTTTCATACGGAAGAAAATGTTCAACACCCTCGAAAAAAATATGTAATAAAATCTTTGAAATTTTGAGGAAAGTTTTCTAAAGTTTGATTCATTTTTGTGAGCTTGGTGAAATTTTTAAAATTTTCATTTCTCTGGCTTTTGTTATGGATCGAACTAACTGAAGTTAGTAAAAATAAATAAATAAACAGGAGTTGCAAACAATACCATTTTGAATTTTTCTGCTATTATTTTGACCGCTGCTGTATGTACATATATGGCCCTTAGTTGATTCACTTTAATTGATTTTAAGTACTTGAAAAAACTTTAACTTTAAGAGCTTAGTTTTGTGAAAAATGTAAGGTTATTTCCGAGCTCGTGGTCGAGCCTGTGGTATTTTACCAGCCATATCGCCCTATAGTTACGCCTCTGAAGTCTGAAGTGTGACTTATCGTTCCTTAGTTACAGCTGATTAAATTTTTACGCCCGTGGGATATTCTACGCGCCCTTTTACAAACTTATATATGGATACTTTACTTTGGCCATCTTTCATAGGTCTATCTTGATACCAGATTACCAAATCATGTGACTTACGGTTCCGTGATTAAAAATATCACCTCTATGGGATGTGCCACGCCCCTTGTACAAACTCATTCATATATACCTCTTTATAAGCGCCTACCATGGGTGTGTCTTCATATAAAATTTGAAAGTCATGTGATGCATGATTCCGAAGCTATGGCTGATTGAAAATTTTACACCTTTTACAAAATTATATCTACTGTACTATAGCATTGTCATTAGCTTTTGTTTACAAAAGCTGACCTACCTAATGTGCCAAATAAAGGCACTTACCGTGCGCAACAACAATACGCCGGGCCAAACTAAATAAACAAATATACGCACGAAAGGGAGATGACAAAAAATCCAAGCCACCGGCTGGCTCTGTGGAGACAAGACAATATAAAAGCTATTCAAACTAAATAGAGAGCACTAGTTAACACTCACAATAAATATGAAACCACCAACACTACCACCACTACACCACCAACAAAATGTTTCGAACCTATTCTCACTATCGCCATGCTGCCGGGGATATCTTTAACCGTTCTGTATGGCTGGGCTCAGGGTACAGGATGCTAAACAGGAGGAAGCCTGCGGACAATAATAACGCCTGAACACAGACTCACAAAAAGAAAACGATGCTTACCGGCGGTCGGTGGGCGTTCCGATTGCAGGGGTGCTCCTTGGGAATATGGTTCGCAAATCCGGTGCCGACCTCACTACGCCTCGACTGGCGCCGCTTCTTGAAAATTTGTCTCTTGCACTACTGCAACCTAAGTGCCTCGCATGGCACTTAATACATTTTTACACTCGCGCTCGCAATAAAGATGTTGCCTTTCTCAAAGATCGCTTAGAACTGCCACGGCCCGCAGTTGCGAGCCAGGCCACAACCTACGCACCAGTACGCAAACCGTTGAAGTGTCAGCGCCGGTATTATTGGCGCCCGATCAATTGGTGCCGGCTCGATCATTCTAGAAGTGAATTGGGTGCTTTAGCGGTAGCTACCATGGCGCACACAAACAACACCACGGACTTGGCAATGCCATCATACGGTGGACAACAAAAGTGGGTGCATCAGCGTACAGTAAAAACTCGGAATGCTTAAAACAAGCTACAACGACATTAATAAATAGAAGAAACAGTATTGCACCTAGGATGCTACCCTAGGTACCCCAGAAGTGGCCTCAAAGGCATACAGAAATGTAGAGTGTATACCCAAACAATAAAGCTTGCGCAATAAAGTGCTGTGAGGGTAAATGATAAGATGTTAAACTGAGAAAAAAGCTATGTTTGTGACAGTTGAGCGACCGCAAACAAAACCATGCTGGCACGGATCAATGCATCCTTTGATAGCAAAAAAAACAGTTTTTCTTTGACCACTTTCTCGAAAAGTTTCGAAAGTTTAGATATAGGTCTGTAGTTTGTAACATAATTTTTGTGACCAGATTTAAAGACTGTGGAGATCGAGCCATTTTTTAACGATTAATAAAAACACCCGAGGACAGCGAAAGATTAAAAATACATTTTAGGGGTACGTAAAGAGACGAACTGAAAAATTCATGGATATGAAAAATATAAGCTACATACATTTATTGCTTGTATACATTTTTACCATAATTTTTCAAGTTTGTTTCCCTTTTTTTTTACTGAATTAAAAGATATTAGGTTTCTTATTCCTAAAACAAAATTGTATGTTGTGATTCGATGTTATAGAAATATCGCGATTTTTGTTCACACAAATTTTGCCACCGTAACTATACAAATAATTTTATATTGTTTTTGTTTATATAATTATTTGTAGGCCGTTGTTACTAGCTTCTTAATTTAAAATTTATCCGTATCTTTTATTATTTTTTGCAGGTTCTTCAAACTTTAAATAAATATTCTGGCCTTGATGATGAAGTTTCGGATTAGGAGATATATTTCTAAAATGAAATAAAAAATGTCTTGTGTCTAATAATTTAAAGTAATAAAAGGCATTTATGTATAAAATTTTTAACTTTTCAATAACTTTATAAAGATGTTTTTAGTACGGGCGGGTCGAAGTTGATATGAAATACATAAAACAAGCTGTGCGTGAGATACCGCAATTATTGTTTTCTATTTAACCCTAGAGTATTAACCTTATTTTACATAAGTTGGTACTAATAATCGTCGACTCGAGGAAGTCTTGTTAAAATCCGTTGCTTTACAAATAAAAGTAAACTGATGTTATACAAATTGAACCCACAAATAAAAAATTTATCGTTGGAAAATTCACCCAGCATTCTACCCAGCAAAAATCAACCAAAAAAAAATACAGNTTGGAAAATACACCCAGCATTCTACCCAGCAAAAATCAACCAAAAAAAAAATACAGTGAAGGAATAAAATTGCGCTAATCACTTCGATTAAGTGCCTACATACAAAAACAAAAAACAAGGAGGGAAATCTAGCAACTAGCGCACTTTAAAAACAGACCCATTGCTGAAACTACTGTAAGTGCGACCCAAAATACATATTTCCATTAAATCTTAATAAGAGTGCAAATCGGAACCCTGTAAGGCTAAAATTCAAATTTTGTGCTTAAGAGAGCTTAAATTCAATTTATTTGTCACTATTTGCTTTGCTAACTTCTGCTTTGCACTTGTTTAATACATACTCGTACATACATAAANACTTTAAAAACAGACCCATTGCTGAAACTACTGTAAGTGCGACCCAAAATACATATTTCCATTAAATCTTAATAAGAGTGCAAATCGGAACCCTGTAAGGCTAAAATTCAAATTTTGTGCTTAAGAGAGCTTAAATTCAATTTATTTGTCACTATTTGCTTTGCTAACTTCTGCTTTGCACTTGTTTAATACATACATAAGAATTTATTTATCCGAATTCGTGCAGAAAAGCCCATCAGTTGCTCTGCCGACGGTAAATACTGTATATACATACCCGTGCTTACATACATACATACTGTTATACTGTTGCGCCTAACATTTTGTTGGTATAGCATCAACGGTTAGCCCAATTTGTTTTAATTTGAAAAAATACCCAGTAAGAAATCGGAGCAGTGACCCAATAGGAAAAAAATTGCAAACACCCTTCAAGCAATTTTCCAATACAATAGGTATTTACCCTTGGCGCAGAAACTGCAAAAAAACAAGATATAACAAGTTACTTTTGCTTAAATTATTAACCCTCAACCCAAAAAGAGGTACCCAAATTAATTGCTCAAAAAATTTTGCGAATTTTTAAGAAACCGAAAATTTTGTTTCACTATACCCTCTAAATATTAAGCAGACTCACTTATTTCAACTAATTTATTAGTAAATCTCGCCTTTTTTAATTAAAATGGAGGAACTTAATATAACAGTTTCTAATTTGATCGAATTCGTGGATGATCATTTCAAGACCCCAGCGGAAGATGAGTCAGTTTATACCTTAGAAATCAAAAGAGTTGAACTCGATTCCGTCTACAGCAAAACGAAGAAAGCGTATGATGCTTTTCGTAGAACACCCAATAATGCCGATGGAACCGTTGATTTCAACAAAGGAAAAGAAAAATACAAAGAATGCTACCAAATGTACTTGAATTGTCTAGCTTCAATTAATAGGGATATAGACACTCTGAAGACCCCGAACCCCACCCAACCAATTAAGGAGAGACGTTCCGAGGCCCCAATGATGGATATTGCACCCATGGTTCATCTACCCCGATGCGTCACGGAAGTCTTTCATGGAGATTATGTTACATGACCTACCTTTAAAGACATGTTCACAGCGCTTTACATCCATAACCCAAGGATAAGCAATGTGAAAAAGCTCTTCCGCTTAAACCTAAAGACCCAAGGCGAAGCAAGCGAGGTAATCAGGAACGCACCCTACACGAACGACGGTTTCATACTGGCATGGAAAAGTTTGGTCGATCAATATGAAAATAAACGTATGCAGGTGAATACCCAATAAAAAACCCTTTTTAATTTGCCATAAGTGTCCCAAGAAACAGGCCACTCTATTAAGACCCTACAAAGAACTGTTAACAATTCTTTGACAAATATAACCAACTTCGGTATAGACACAAGGAACTGGGAGCCGATCTTAATATACCTATGTAGTTCAAAACTATCAAAGGAAACTTTAGAAGCATTTGAATATACCCTAGAAGATAACTCTACAATACCCACATGGGCAACATTCGATAGCTTTTTGACCCATAAATACAAAGCCTTAGAATCTGTAGGGAATTTCAAAGCTTCGATTTCAAGACCACACCAAACGCACCCAGTCAAGAAAAGTGATGAAAAGCGATATAACATTTTTCATGCTAATGTTTCTGAAAATCAGACACATGGACCCTCAACATCTCAAAATAATTCAGGCACTGCTCCCTCAAAAAAGCAATTCGACATAGAAAGCTGCAAATTATGGAAAAAACAATATCTTATTCGTGAATGCCCTAAATTCCTCGCAATGAATGTAGAAACCCGTATATCCACTATCAAAAAATATGGATATTGCTACAACTGCTTGGCAATTTCGCATAGATTCAAGGACTGCAAAAGCAAATACTCTTGCAGAAAATGCAACAAGAGACATAATACCCTAATTCATAGAGATTCAGTTACTCGAACTCAACCCCCGCCGGAAGGATCAAGAGTCTCAAGCTCGACTCCTGATACCAGCTCAAGTTTATCCCCACCCACTCAAAGCACTCTTACAAATCCGCAAGCCTATATCAAAACCATACAGTCCACTCAATCGGCAACCCAAGACAGATTTTACTAGGTACGGCAATGGTTCAGGAACATAATGGCCAAAGATATATGGCAAGAGCACTCATAGACTCCGGATCTGAAGCTATGTTTATATCTGAAAAAGTACAGAGAAATTTAGATATACCCAACCACTCTATGTCAGCCCAAGTAACCGGATTAAAAAACGAGGATATGCGGAATCACCCTCTGCTCACCATTGAACATAAACTTCAGAATATCGACCCACGCGTTTATTCTAAGTAGTCTCACGGATAATTTACCCTCATACCCCCTCGACCAAAGATGTCCCTTGAAAAGCTCGGCTTCACATTAGCAGATATGCAGTTCTAGACCCATGGATATGTTAATTGGTAGTGATCTGTACCCAAAAGTTATACTCGGTGGAGTTAAGCGAGATATTTTAGGTCCACTCTTTGCCCAAGAGACAGAATTTGGATGGATTTTATCTAGTCCTGTAATTAGGCCGTCTCAATCATCAAACTTAGTTTCATTCTACAATAAAATGACCGCGGATAATCTGCTCACTCGTTTTTGGGAGTTGGAAGAAGTTCCCAGTAAACCCCTGGCCTCTCCATCAGACATCCTTTGCGAAGAAAACTACCAAAGAACGACACGTAGAAATCCAAATGGACGCTGTGTAGTAACCTTACCCTTCAAAGACCCCGAAAACATCGACATTGGAAATTCAAGATACATAGCGCTAGCACAATACCTTAGAAACGAAAAGTCTGTACTTAGGAAACCTGAGGTAAAGGCGGAATATGACAAGGCAATTACCGAATATTTGGAACTCGGTCACATGAAGTAGGTCGAATATAATCCTGCGGATAAAACGACCCCATATTACTTACCACATCATGCGGTCATTAAACCTGATCGCATGACAACAAAACTTCGCGTGGTATTTAATGCTTCAAACCCCACTTCAAATCGAAAGAGCCTTAATGACGTTCTACATATTGGACCCACCTTACAAAAGGACTTAGTCATTCTAATTGTAAAATGGAGACTCTCTCGAGGAAACTCAGCCCAGAGCATCAAAGTTCTTCGCAACGAAATATATGTAGACGACGTCTTATCAGGAACCCATTAACTATCAACTGCTAAACAAGCACGAGATGAACTTACTTCTGACCCAGAAATATTAGCAGAGTTACCACAAGAACATCGACTAGATACCGAGTTACTCAATTTACCCGAGCTCGACAAAACCCTAGGTATTCGTTGGAACTCCTAGAACGCTTCATTCTTTTTTCTCGTCAACCCAATCGAAAAGAAACCCGCACACACAAAAAGGGAGGTTTTATCAACCATAGCCAAATTGTTTCGACCCCGCCGGTTGGCTCAGCCCAATAATAATAACGGCAAAAATTATTATGCAACAAGCACGGCTTGATAAATCTGACTGGGACGAAAGTCTTAAGCCACTCCCCCTTCATCGATGGCTTAGTTTCATATAGGAGTACGAAACGATAAAAAAGATTGAAGTACCCAGATGGACCCACTTCACACCATCAACAACCATTGAATATGCATATGCAAAAACTCTATATTCGAGTTAAAATGGAAACCAAAGTATGGACCACCATGTTCGTTTCGAAGACGAGAGTTGCCCCAATCAAGAGTATATCATTTCCAAGATTAGAACTCCGTGGAGCCGTTCTGCTAGCTAATTTTTGGATGGAATCAACGATAGTTCTATCATGGTTAAAGAAGCCACCATATTCCTAAGACTACCTTCGTATCTAATCGAATCACCACAATCACGGAAAATGTCGGAATGAATAACTGGCGCCATGCCGAAAGTCGGAATTATCCCGGTGATCTGGCAAGTCGAGGTTGTACGCCCACGGAACTCATAAATAGCGAACTCTCGAAGTACGGACCCAAATGGCTAAAACTCGAACGAGAACAGTGGCCCACAACTCAAAAACTCTACAGAACAACCCTTGAAGCCAACCCTGTAAAGACTTTCGCAATAACGACCCAAGAGGACATCCTTGAAAGATTCTCCTCACTACCCAAAGCCATTCGTGTAATTGCGTATTTATTCATGTTTTGCTCTAATGCCTCACCCAGGAGACGTGAAACACACTACTCAAGCCGAGAAATAACTCCTAGCGAATTCAAAACGACACGAACGAAGCTGATTATTTTGACCCAAGAAACTCATTTCCCGGACATATATGTCGCTTTGACCTGAAAGACCCAGATACCCAAGAAAAGTGCACTACTGACACTTAACCCATCAATTGATCCTAACGGAGTGATGCGAGTTGATGGCCGATTGAGCAATTCCGCGGCATTATCTTACAACGAGCGTCGTCTGATTATATTACTTTATGGCAGCCATATGACAAAGCTACTGACCCGATTTACTCACTCAATAACCTTACATGGTGACAATTCAACTAATTTTGCGACTCATTCGAACAGAATTTTGGATTCCAAAGTTAAAGACTCTCATAAAAGTAATGATCCATAGCTACAAAACGAACACAAATAATTGTAGCACTTCCAGCGGGGAGCACAACCCTAACCCGTCCATTTGCCGCCACAGGAATTGATTTCGCTGGACCCTATGACATCAAAAATTACACTGGAAGAGCATGTCTAATAACCAACGATTACATCTATGTATTTGTATGCTTCGCAACCAAGGCAATACACCTCGAACCCGTTAGCGATCTTACGACACAATCGTTTATGGCGGCATTCGCACGTTTCTTTTCCAGGCGCGGATTCCCCGCCGATCTTTACTCAGACAACGGAACGAACTTCGTAGGAGCTTCACAATTATTAGCCAAAGATCGACGAGAATTTGTGAAAAACCTTAAAACTCAAGTCACAGCCAGTTATACCCATCAAAACGTCAACTGACACTTCAACCCTCCCGGAGCTCCACACATGGGGTGGGCTATGGGAAGCCGGAGTAAAAAGTTTGAAAACCCATTTGAAAAAGGTATCAAAAATCCAGAAATTCACCTTTGAAGAATTAGCTACCCTACTAACCCGCATCGAGAGTTGCTTAAACTCACGTTCATTGAGGTCTTCAAGCGATGATCCAACTAATTTGGAACCTATAAACCTAGGACAGTTATAGGTACCCCGTTACTCACCCCTGCCGAACCCAACTTGGACGACGCAAATTTAAGCATAGCAAACCGATGGCAGAAATTGAAAATACTCCATCAGCATTTCTGTAAAAGAGGGAAGGAGGAATCCGTAAAGGAACTCCACAAGCGATATATGTAAGTGGAAATAGCCCCAAAGAAACATCGAAGGGGTGATTTAGTCGCCATTAGAAATGAAAACTTACCCCCTAACGAATGGAAACTTGGCCGAATCGAGAAGGCCTATTTCGGTTCGGACAACAAAACCCGAGTGGTGGAAATTCGCACCGCTCAAGGCATAATAATCCGCCCCATCCCAAAAGTCGTGATATTGAACACCCATTAACCTACAAGTTTTCTTTCTTTGTAGAAAAATGGCTCCAACTAACGTTTCCCGGAACTCCACAGCGAACAGCAGCACTTGGCGAAGCAGGCCAACCTCCACCATCCGCTGCCAGCAGCATTTCACCCACATCGGATATAGAAACCCTGTCTAAGCGTGCACGACGCTTCCGTGCAACCCTTTCTCCTATACGTGAGGAAGAAGAAAGTGGTATTCACCGCACGGCACGACCCAAAATCACTCATTCCCACAACAGCCGGTTCTACGTACCGGAATGAGTCGGCTTTTACCCGACCATGGGCTGTTGTTTCGGCGATCTGACCCAGTTTAGGTCGGCGAAGTATCTCAGAAGTTGTTCGTCCATAGGTCTGCATTCCCTACGTATTCTTCTGCTCAGGGCTGGCATCGAGTCAAACCCGGGGCCAGAAACCTACACCTGCTGTATNGACATAACAATAGTCAGCGCTGGTCTGATAAACAGCATATCATGGTGACCTATGCTGACTTTGGCATCAGACCATCTGCCCATAGTCATCTCGATCGATAAACCAACCGTCTTTGCTTCCGCGGAACACCAACCCTATATCAACTTTTCTAAAGCTGATTGGAAATGCTTCGCGGACTGAAAACAACTTCGCTGCGCTTCCCACACCAATCGACGTCCACCTTGGTGAACGTAAGTTCCGCAGGGCTATCACCGCTGCTGCAGCTCGCTTCGTACCGGCAGGATGTATAACGGACCCACGTCCAAATTTCCCTGCTGAAGCGGCTGTTCTAGCCTGACAGCCTTCGTCAGACCGATCCCGGAGATCCCCGTATCTGGGATCTAAACGCGGAGATTCGGCAACCAGTGAACGTACATAAGCGGTAGAAGTGGGAAGAGCATCTGAAGACCTGTAACTTAACTTCTGGTGTGAGTAAGTTTTAATCTACCGTGAGGTCACTGTCCAATCCGACGAAGGATCACGACAGAGTCGAAATTTCTTTCGGCGACCATGCTTCGTCGGACCCGGAGGGATGCGGGAGCTATTTTAGCAGGCAGTTCAAACTGCATCCTCCGGTAGACAAAGCCAAGCGTCGAGTGATCAGAAGGCTGCACAAACTGCCAGCAACTTGTGGCCCCCTTGCTTTCACTTGCGGTGAAGTCTAGGTGGCCATCGGGAAGGCGAAAGCCTCCAAAGTAATGGGTCCCGACGGAATATGCATGCTGATGCTGAAAATTTTGCGGGAGTGGCGTACCTAACGGAGGTCCTTAATTTGTCAATGGCCACTCTCATCAACCCAGACATCTGGAAGGTGGGGAGAGTGGTCCACTGATCAAACCGGGGAAACCAGCCAACAAAGGGAGGGGATTCATATCGACCGATAACACTCCTTTCCCCGGTAGCGAAGACACTTGAGGCCTTGCTGCTCCCGTATTACACGAACCACCTGACCCCAGCGAAGCCTCAGCATGGTTTCCGTAAAGGGCACAGTACAACAACAGCACTTCACACCATAAACACTCAGATAACCTCTGGCCTTAACCGTAACCGTCCCTGTGAGAGAACGATTCTAGTAGCGTTGGAGTTTTTCAAGGCGTTTGACACTGTCAGCCATTACACGCTACTAGAAGATATAGAGGCTTCCTCTCTCCCACAGAGGCTCATACTGTGGTCGGCAAATTATCTGAGTGGTCGACACTCGTCGGTAATGTTTAGAGACAAATCGAGAAAACTCAGAAGAATAAAACAGGGGGTTCCACAAGGTGGTGTCCTTTCCCCGCTACTCTTTAACTTTTATATTTCAAAGCTCCCTCAACCACCAGAGGGAGTCTCGATTACTTCTTACGCCGACGATTGCTCGATCATGGCGACTGGGAATGGAACTGATGACTTGTGTTCGAAAGTGAACGGGTATCTCTGCGAGCTTTCTCGCTTCTTCACTGTAAAGTGCCTAGCCCTCTCCAGTACGAAATCCTCTTCGACCTTGTTCACCACTTGGACGAAGGAGGTCAGGCTACCGCTGAGAATTCACGTCGATAATACACCAATTCCGACGGTTAATAACCCTAAAATACTTTGAGTAAAATTCGAATGTCCGCCGCAACAAGGTCCTCAAGTCGCTAGCCGGCAGAACTTTGGGCGAAGACAAAGAAACGTCGCTGGCAACATACAAGGCAATAGGCCGGCCAGTTTTAAACTACGCAGCACCAGTGTGGTCGCCGGGGACAAGTGGGACGCAGTGGATGAAGCTACAGACGACACAAAACACCGCACTTAGGGCAGCGACTGGATGCCTTCCGATGTCGCCAGAACACCACCTGCATGTCGAGGGGAAAATGCTCCCAGTCAAGGAGCATAACATAATGCTCTGCAAGTAGTTTCTGGTTGGAGCCACAGATGTGGCCACCTAAACAGACAGCTGCTTGCAGAGGAGCCCTCGCCTAGGCACGTCAGGAGGCATCTCTACGAACTAACGGACGAGGTCCAGAGGTTCATTAAGCAACCTCTGGACCCGTCAGCATACTGACAGGCCCTGAACGGCATTCACAGGGAGTCAGTCTCGAGTTATGTAGACTCCAGACCGGCATGCGGAGAGACCCCTCATGACTCCAAACGTCCCTTCGCATGCCTGGAAAACCCGACCACCCTAACGGCTTTGTCCCTGTGGACCGACCCTATGGAGGCTGCACGCTTCTTAGGGCTGCCGTTAGTGGAACTTGACGACAACGACTGAGATATTAAACGATCTAGGCGGGATTGTTGTAGCCGCTACAACAACAACAACAGCCCAAGATCACTCACACTTGTCGCCATAAGTACGACCCACACCGCCATGTAGCATGCGATTTATGCAAGAAGGACCATCGCGTGGTGACTTGCATAAAGTACACTAACATGAATATTCAAGAGAGGCACAACGCAGCCATCAGGACCCACTATTGCATAAATTGCTTGGCCAGGTCGCACAAGATACAAAAATGTACATGTGATAAGGGATGTTCAACGTGCAATGGAAAACACCGTTCTTCCCTTCGCGGCCACCCAAGATTCAACACCAAGGTGGACACAAAACACCAGAAAAAAGAAAAAAAACTCACGCTCCACCTGCTAATACTAAAATACCGTCATTACTGGCCAAGCAGACCCTAATACCGAAGGCAATCGTGCGGCTCAAGCAGAACGGCATATGGCATAAGGTTCGCCCCTTAATAAACCCGACCCAAAAATTGACAACCGTTGCACATGAGCTGGTAAAAAAGCTCATCGTATATGCAACAAGCAAATGGGTTCACTAACGGATGACAAATTTCGCATGGAGTGTAACAGTTTAATCACTAAGGATCTACCCAAACAGCCATATGAGCGGGACTTAAATGACGAAGTAAAAAACCGATTCGATCACTTAGTCCTCGCTGACGTCTAATGGAAACCTCATTTTCGAATGAGGAGCCGACGTTTACCCACTCATCCTCAGAAGCGGAGCGTTTAATCCGGACAATGGCATGGTCGTAGCCCAGAACACAGTATTTGGTTGGACTCTAACTCTAACTTCGCTACTGAATGATTTTAACCAATTTAAATTAACTGTGTTATATATGTATATCCACCCCACTAATTTCAAATTTATTAGCAGATATTGCAAATAAACACATCCCTACATTATCCTCCTAAACTCCGAAAAGCGAAGGAAGGATAATGCAGGAATGAAAAACCGCTCTGGCTAAATGAGCAGCTCCGACTCCACCATCAACCGACGTCAGCAGATGTCGTATCATCCACTCCACATTCACACACACATAAATTCACACTAACTATTGTAAATAAAACACTTTGACATTTAACTTCTCCACCACCTCTGTAAACACACCACACTTGTAATACACACCCACACATACTTGTCAATTTTACATTGATGTGAAAAGACAATCGTACGAATTTTCCCCCCAGCGGACGTGTCCGAGCAGCCCCCTCGATTTTATCAATAAAACCATACGCAATTTGTAAATCCAATTAAAAAATACTGTGTGTTCTTTTTTGAATAGAGTGGAACCAGTGTTACTAAGTGGTAAGCTACCGGCAATATAAAAAACCAAGGGCCTAAAGTGTTCATGGTCCTCCATCGCCTTACTGAATGGCACCTATAAAGGAAAACAAACAGAAGAAAAAAAGTGTATACAGTCCACAAACAACAACGACAATAAAAGTATAACGTTGCACATTTCGTAGATATATATTTATATTATTATGTGAAAACTGAAAAAAGCAAGTTATACCATTTTAAATGAACCGAGTGACGCTTACCTCAAGACAAAAAGTAAAAATAAAAAAATACATATATACTTACATAAACATATATCAACAATAACAGTGTACAAAGTCACATATGTAACCAAATAATTCGGGCGCGCCGAGTAAAAAACCCGAAAGAACATAAACTTAAATAAAAACCTAATTTATCCATCGAAAACAACATAAGTCAACAATCAACTGAACACCCACTATAGAAGGAAGCACTGAATCGTAGGGAGACTCAGCGAGGGAATCTATCAACGTGGGAGAAAGGAAAGGCGATCTGGAAAACAGTTTTACCCCAAAACTGAACACAAAATTGTACTCCATATACCCCCTCAACACCAAAGTGAGTTGTTTCGAACCCATTTAATTTGACAGACATGCATAGAGCATTTACATATGTATATTTATATATTGCTGAAAATTTCCAAAAAAATACCGATATTTGCTGAAATTTGGAAAAAATATACATATAAAGGTACATATTTACATACATAAATATACATATTAGTAAAAACTTTACGGTTCCAAAAAACTTTTTTGAACAAAAAAAATCGTATGTACATTAAACTGCATCACCAAAAAAAGTTGCGGTTTTCCACCGGGATTACAAAATTTATTATATTTTAAGACGTCCACCAAAATATTTCGGAAAAATATTAAGATTTAAGTGAACTGGACCGATTTGAAAATACCTCCACAAATGAAGTTTTTTATGAATAAAGATAGTTTCTCAAAGAACTTTTTGAAAAAAGTCCCCTCAGATGACAAATTAGATTAAGCTTAAAAAATTTGCATAAAAATATTTAAAAATCTTTTCAACGGAATCGTAAAAATTAGATTTTTGATGCTGTTTTTTTACTTTTTTCAAAGATTGGTTTACGAAAAACTTGAATAACTGGGCCAAAAATGTTCTGATTTAAACTTATGGGATCTCAGTAGAAAGGTATTTTCACTGTTTTTATTTCTGGCCAAAAAAACGTCATTCGTGTCCCATCTTGTTTTTTCGAATACCAACACATCTTAATTCAACTTTGAATGACGTTCCTTCATCCTACCTTTCTCTTCCATCTTTGGAATGAGTTTATTAGCAAAGAAATAAAAAGGGTGAGAAAATACCTTTCCAATGACACCTCCTAAGTCTAAATCGGAAGAGTTTAGGTTCAGTTATTCAAGTTTTTCCTTGAATTCACAGTTTTCTTTCGATTTCTTATTTTGGAATTTAACATCATTTTTTATGGCTAAGAACGTTTTTTCATAGATTCTAAAGGGCTGGGACCACCTGGGATGGCGAAATCTTATTATTTGTGAATTAGAGCGTTCACCTCCTTAGCTTGAGTTATGAAAGTTGATTTTTTTTGCTGGCACTTGGCCGCTTAGAATCCACTCGAATATAGTATTTTGGCTAATAGGGCGTTAGAAATTTTTTCAACACCTTCAAGCATAATTTTGGGTATTAGGTCGGTGCCTAATAGGATATCAACTTAAGCGGGGATGTGGCAGTTGGATCCGCTAAATTGAGGTGGGCAAATTTTTTGCGATAATTGCCGTTTATAATCAGGGTTAATGAGCAGATTTTATTGGAGTTTTGGATTGCTCTTCCACCCATTCTCGAAATTTCAAAGTTTGTATTTTTTGTTGGGAGCTTTAGTCGGTTCTGTGCTTCTGTCGAGATAAAAGATCTTTGTGAACCCTGATCTATTAGAGCTCTAAGCTTAAATAGTTCTCCTCGGCGTTCGATGGAGATAACTGCAGTGGGAAGTAAAATGTTGCTTTCATTGTTTGAATGCAGAGCTTGTATATTTGCTGCTTTTGAGCAACATGATCGCTCTTGTTTAATTTCGGGGTCCTGCTTTTTGAGGTCTTCGGGTCTAATTGTTGCCACCAGAGCAGGAGTTCTGAAAGACATAAGCTTTTTTGGGGTGTTCTTGTAAAATTTGTTATCTGAAGCATCGAATGATGTCTCCTGCGACAATATATGCAGTTAAATTTGCTCCCGCAGTCTTTAAACCTATGAGACTGAGATAAGCAATTGGTACAAAGCTTAGAGCTTCTAGAGAATTCATTTCTTTCGTTTATTGTGAGTTTTTTAAATCTCTCGCAAGATCTTAATTTGTGACCTCCTTTACACAATTCGCATGACGCATATATAATTTGAGTTATGAATGATTGCGATCTATTGAAGCTTGATTTCTGGCTTGGGGTATATGGAGCTTCTATGTAGATCATTTTGTGTATTTTTGGGTTAGGATAGTGTTTTATCTACCCTCTCTGCCATTTCGTACTGGGTAGTAAGAAAATCTTTCATTTGTTGCCATGTCGGACATTTTTTTCGGGATGGAAGCGATTGCTCCCATAGAAGTCACGATTTTTCGGAACATACATTTACCAGAATTGGGTCCCAGTTATCTGTGGGAATGTTTTGAGTTTCTAGCACGGATAAACAGTTTGTAACAGTGGACTCTAATTTTATAAATTCTTCGCTAGTTTCTTTTTGAATTTTTCGGCCAGTTCATTAGAATCGTTACTTGATTATCGACCAGTACTCTTTCATTTTCGTATTTTGATTTGAGTGCTTCCCAAGACAGACTGAAATTGTCGTAATTTAGTGCGAATTGTTTAACTATACTACCTGCTTGACCTTTTGTTTTGTACCTGAGGTGGTACAGTTTTGGTGCTTGAGACAGTTGTGGATGGTTTATGTACACGGCCGTAAACATGTCCCGGAAGGACGGCCATTCTTCATAACCTCCGTGAAATACTTCTGTATCACATGCTGGCACTTTGAGGTATATGCCTGAACTTGCTTCTTGCGTCTGGGGTGGAGTAGGCGCGCTGATTGATTTTAATAATTTAAGCTGATCGGAAATCATAGCTTTTGTTTCTTCAAGGCAGGTTTCGTATTTGGCCGAGGCCGAAGCTTTAAAATTAGCGGGAAAAACGGAATCATCCGTTTCGATAATTGTATCGTGGGGTTTCTTGCTCCTTTACCGGAGCTTTATCAGATGGCATTTATATGCTGAAAAATTTAAAGTTTTTTCCAGTGTATTTTAACTAAAATGGGATCCTATGGGATCTTAAATTACTTGGCTTTATATAAGCACAACTAAACACAATATCCTGTTTTGAGTTTTATTTAAATAAATAGGTACGTATTATTTTTTTCCGATTTTGATTTTTATTATTTTCCGTAAGGGTATTTGTAGGACTTGAAATAAGTTTTCTTAAATCACCGCAATTAAATATTTCTGTATTTATAATTTTTCTCGGTTCTTAATACTTTCTTTTACGCGTGCTGTGCAGGGTAAATGCAATGCTGGGTTATTATACTGTATTAAAGTATATGTATGTATGTATGTTAATAGCATGGAATGTTAAGCGAGGGTGGTTAACAATAGTTAGTGTGTATGTAACTATGTTTACTAGCGAAGGACGGGAGAAAGAGAATTTATAATTGCGATTTCGTTGCTTTGTATATACGAGTTTGTTGTTAGCTGTTGGGAGTGAATAACTCTATCGCTATTGCAGTGAGATGCAGATGACCGTACTCTAGGTTTGTGTGTATGTAATTTGATGCAGCAATGCAGATTAGCGACTAATAAGCGTTTGTATAATTGCTTATACCCACGTACATATGTACATATATTAATTTGCGATAAAGATGATGGGAGGCCAGAAATTAAACATGCAAAATTGTGTACTAATATATTCAGGTGTTTTTGATATTTGCTATTTATGGATTTTAGAAGCTGTAATATGATATGTTTACATACATAAAAATGCAGTATTTACTGCCACTTCTTTTCAACTTTGTTTCGCCAATCTTTTTCGCGCAAAATTTTTTGTTTCGTTGATATTGTTCTGTCTTATTTCTGCTGCTTATTTTGCATGCAATCCTGCTTTTGCTTGATATGAGTACAAGCGAAAGGGGTGTTGCCGGGCAATTATTGCAAGTAGATACTTGAATTTTTTATGTTTTGGGCTTTGGTGTGTTAATAAACACGAAAAATAAGCTAAAGCAGGAATTTAAAGTGGTTTTTTCAAGCTTATATATGTATGTACATTAGACTGCATCACTCCCCATACAAAAAGAAATCGGTACTATTTTTCCACTGGAATTATAAAATCTATTATATTTTAAGACGTCCACAAAATTTTTTCGCAAAAATATTAAAATTTAAGTGAACTGGACCGATTTGAAAATACCTCAAAAAATGGAGTTTTTTATGAATAAAAATAGTTTCTTAAAGATTTTTTTTGAAAAAATCCCCTAAAATGACAAAACGGTTTAAGCTTAAAATATTTGCATAAAAATATTTAAAAAAAATTAAAAAAAAATTTGAACGGAATCGTAATGATGAGATTTTTGATGCTGTTTTTTAACTTTTTTCAAAGATTGTTAT